CCAAAAAAAAAAAAAAAAAAAAAAAAAAAAAAGAAAGCATTAATCCAGCCCTTAAAATATGTTGCACTCATTTAAAAAAACATGTACACAAAGCATCTAGTGAATAAGCCATGGATGCAGGTGTTTTTGTTTTTTAGTAGCATGGCACAGTCGTTGCTCAGGAGCTGATTTTTTGGTAGGAAAAATAAGACTGTTTCCTGTGACACAGACTATAGAGAAAACAATATAAGGCAGTATGTAATAATATTTTTTGTAGCAGAAAAACAGCATGCAAGTGTCCAAGTGAGGTATCTTCAATGTTCCCCCATCCCCGGTAGTCTACACAGGACTTCTCTGACATGTGTACAGATTAAAAAAGGGGGAAAAAAAAAAACCCCTCTAAACTCATTATAGAATTGTTTTAATCTCAGATTTATGTTGTTGATCAGCCTTTGTTCAGTAGCAGTATATATCTCGGACTTCATTGGTCGTGAGTTCTTACTTCCTAGTTAAGCTCAAAGAGAATGCAAGATTAGGTTGTCAGGAAACTCATGACATATTTTTCTATGTTTTTCTATGCAAAAATGTATCATGACTTTCCTGTCGACCCAGTAGATACAGGCTTATTTAATACTTCCTTCATACTTGTGGCTGGCACAGGGATGTATGATTGGTTAAAAGTTCTGCAGAGGGCCAGCAGAGTCCCAGACATGGCAACTTGAAAATCACACTGGGCACATATGTGTGCATGCTCAAAATCCCAAGAAGAGAATGGAGGAGAAGGGATTGTGGTGTGACCATCCCCCTGAGGGGTGTTTTCTCACTTTCCCTCTCTGTCTCTCTCTAGTGAGCACATGCTCCCTATGCCAAAAACCTAGAAGGAAAACATGTTCTGCAGACCACAAGGTAGACACTTGTGTTGCCCTTTTTTGGGGACCAGAACTCCTGATCTGTAGAGAAATCTGTTGTATCCAGGTGTGTGCTAGGACTGTGTAGCTCAAACACTGCTTTAAACATTACTGTGCTTCAGCAGGGAAGTTTTAGGTATATTTGTATTTATAATGACAGGTTTGACTTTAATTCTCTTATGCTTCTTAAACATAAGTAATTTAATATTAAGGTTGCAAAACAACTTGATGTGATATTTTCCTGACTTTTTTTTTTTTCCCTAGCTAGCTCATGAAGCTTTCAAAATGGCTCAGTCACTTGATCCATCTTATCTAATGTGCTGGATTGGACAAGTAAGATATATAGCATACAGTTATTAACAAACTATTGATGTAAATAACCTGTTCATATAAATAAAAGGGACAAAAATGAAAACAGGTGGCATCTGAGGGCTCTTTGTGCCAGTCACTGTGCTTAGCTCGTCACATGTATTATTATTACTTCCGTTCATCCATACTTTGAGATGTGGTTTTGTTCTATTCTTTTAATAGATGTAGTATCATGCTGAAGGTCACTCGGCTCATAATGACTAAACTTTAATTGGGAGGGGGGCTTTGAACCCCATCAGTCTGACATTACTATACCTAAACAAACTAAAAAACCCAAAGAAAGTATTTTGTTGCTTAACTCAATTCACAAAGAAAATGCACAGTTACAAAGAACATTTTGATTATTATGCTTTCTCATTTTCTGCAAAGTCTTCCTATGTGGTTTGGCCCTCATTTTAGGAGTATTGCCGGCTTCCCCAAGCTTAGATTTTTGGACTGTCATGTAGTAATCAGGGTATCTGGTTGCTAGTTTAATTCTACTGGCTGATCTTCTTACTTTATGTCACTTCTCTGGATTTTAATTTTCTCACCTGAAGAAAGAGACAAAACCATTTTGTCTAATTGAGAAATTTTAATGTATTAATTAGTGGTTGATCGTTTTGGTTAAAGAATACTAGGGTCACCTGTAACAGGCGATCACTAGTCAGGAATTATGTATCTTTTACTGTACTTTTGACTGTTGGGTCTAATTCTAGTTAGTTGACAAAGTAAGCAGAGATAGACAAACTCCTGGGGACAGCCAGGTGGTGTGTGGTTAAGGTATCTGGCTCCCATATGTCTGACTGTGCAGTTCAAGTCCCAGGCCTGGCAGCTTAAAAAAACATGCAGGTGGTGTGTACATTTGTGCCTAAAAATACCGAGAGGAGAATGGAGGAGAAGCCATCCTCCCAGGGAGTGATTTCTCACTTTCCTCCTCTCTGTCTTTATACACACTCTGTAACAATTAAAAAAAAAAAAAGTCAAACTCCTGTTTCCATTGAACTGGGTAGTACTACCTGGGAACAGTGACATTAATGTGCTGAATTCTTTGTCAGTTATTGAATCCAGAGCCCAAGAATTTGTATCTCTAATTGTTTCTGATGGCGAGGGTGATCCAGGGACCTCATCTTTTGTGACACTGCCCTGGATCATTAGATCTTAGATACTTAGTAGAATGACTCGAAGTTTCCTCCCTCCTCAGTATTTTTTTTTTCCTAAAAATTAGTTTGTTTCAGGAAATAGCTGATAGGCATAATTAAAATGTTAGCAGTTGGGACCAGCAGTTAGCGTAATGGCTATGTCGCTGGGCTCCCATGTAGTTAACTGTGGTTCGAGTCCTGGACTCAGTGACTTAAACTCACGCCAGGCGCATGTGCGTGCATGCCCAAGATTCTGAGAGGAGAATGGAGGAGAAGGGATTGCGGCATGGCCATCCCCCCTGAGGGGTGATTTCTCTCTTTCTTTCTTTCTGTCTCTTTCTGTCTTTCTGCCAAGCAAACGTACCCTATAGCAAAAAAAAGAAAAAAACACCTCTCCGAAAAATAAATTGTTAGCAGTACAACTGAAACATAAATTAACTTTGCTTTTAAGTACAGCCAGGAAACCTCTTGTTCCTTTAAACAGTTTCATTTATTTTACTCTGAGTTTCTTTTAAACACACTAAGAACCTTTTTTCCTTCTACAGGCTCTTATCGCAGAGACGGTTGGAAGTTATGACACCATGGATCTCTTCAGGCATACGACAGAACTTAGTATGCATGTAAGGGTTCAAACTTTCTTTTCGAGGGTTCATTCATGAGTAAAGCATTAGCCTTGTTAAGAAAGCGAATAGATCGTGGCCTAAGGTATTAATAAGAACAGTTGTCTGTTTTATTTTTGTCTTAGAAACAGATAAGCCGTCTTTAAAAAAACTTCTAGTGTTTGTCTTCCTTTATTTGGGCATTTAAGAGGTGATGAAAAATCACATTGAGATTTAAGAATAGAAACCAAAAGTAGGAAGAAAAGAGACATGAGATAGACTCGACTTGGTTGACGTTTCTAGATTATGAAGATGTTTTAGAATCCTTTCGTTTGCTTTGACCTCTGGAATGGTGCTAAGAAGGGGGGAAGTAACCCATCAGATGGGCTTTTCCTTCTGCACTTTATTTATCCCATTTGCATCTCCTCCATGAGATTGGAGCAAGTGTTGTAAATATGTTCTCTGCTGTGTTTTATCACAGTGACCCTTCATTCAACAGTACCTAACAGTTACAGAGAACCAAGATGTGGCATTTCTTGCACTGAAGTACATTGTTGTATTTCTTAGATTTTTATTGGCATATTTATTACTCTGTATCCACTGAACTTTGTCTTTTCTTCAGACGGAAGGAGGACTAGGCTATGCATACTGGGTCTGCACAACACTGCAAGATAAAAGCAACAGAGAGACAGAGCTGTACCAGTACAACATCCTGCAGATGAACGCTGTCCCGGCAGCCCAGGTCGTCCTGAGCAAGTACATAGGTAAGGGGCCTGTGAGACAGTGGCAAGGTACTTGGACAAGTCTTGAAATAACTTAAATAGCTTACTTAACTTACTCCCAATAAAATACTAGCATTCTTTTTTTAAACTTTTTTCCTTTTTCTTTACACATTCAGTCACTGTATATCATTACACTTTTACAAAATGAATTTTCCCAGCATGAATACACTGTATATTAATCCATTTGAAGACATTATCATATGTGTTATCATCAACAAATAATTTTCCACTTTTGTTTCCCTTAAATGTTTTTTTTCTTTCCTTTTCCCCTTGATTCCCTTCCTCTTTAAGACATGAATTTGCTTTTTCTCCCCCCTCAAGGGCCAAGCTGCCTACTTGTTAAACTTTAGCAGGGGCTTTCGAAGAATGATAAAAATTGCTTGTTACCTAATGATTCAAGATTTAAGTGATTTCTTTGATACAGTAGAAGGTATTTGGGATCTAAGTGGCCTGAGCTGCTGCTACTTCATTTACTTTCTCTGCAGTCCTCTGCCAAATATGGTGGTGTCAGAAAAGTCATAATGCATTTTCACATAGAAAAAAAATATGTCATGACTTTTCTGACAATCCAATAATTTATTTCCCTTACCTTCTTTTTAAATGTATAAAAATAGAAAAGAAAATAGAGATCATGATCACTGGGGCATAGAGTTGTGAGTTAAATGAGGTAATATACACGAAATGCCAAATCCAGTGCCTTCAGTCCTTCCCTTTAAGAATATTGGGGACCAGCAGTTAGCATACTGGCTGTGTCACTGGACTCTCACGTAGTCGACCATGGTTTGCGTCCCGGACCCCGTGGCTTAAAACTCATGCCGGGCGCATGTGCGTGCATGCCCAAGATCCCGAGAGGAGAATAGAGGAGAAGGGATTGTGGCGTGGCCATCCCCTCTGGGGGTGATTTCTCGCTTTCTGTCTCTATGTCTCTCTCTGTCTGTCTGGCGAGCGCACGCGCCCTAAAGTGAAAATCTCTCCCCAAAAAAAGAATATTTCTTGGGACCAGAAGATGGCATAATGGTTATACCATTGGACTCCCACTTAGTTGACTGTGGTTTGAGTGCCAGACATGTTAGCTTAAAACTCGCCTAGGCATGTGTGCATGCATACTCAAAATCCCAAGAGGAGAATGGAGGAGAAGGGATTGTGGCATGGCCATCCCCCCTGGGGGAGATTTATTTACTTTCTGTCTCTCCAGCAAGCACACATGCCTTATAGCAAAAATCTCTCTTAAAAAAAAAATTCTCAAGATATTGAAAAACGTATTTAGGTTTACAAACTTGACAGAATGGTAAAGTGTTATTAACTGTTTATTTTAATAATTTGCTATCTTACTTAATAAAACTACTTTTTAAAAAACTTTTATTTTAGAGAGTTTTTTCCTATAGGGTGTCTGCTCACTAGAGAGATGGAAAGTGAAAAATCACCAGAAGGAGCAATGGCCTTGCTGCTTTCCCTTCTCCTCTCAGGATTTTGGATACACATATGCACACGCCTGGCATGAGTTTTAAGCCACTGGGTCTGGGACTTGAACCACAGTCTACTACATGGAAGTCCAGCGATGTAAACATTATGCCATCTGTTGTTGGTCCCTACCATTGGCTTTAATCACTGCTCTACCACTTAGTAGCTATGATGGAAACATTGAGCATGCTATCAAATTGAATTTTAGTTTCCTTTGTCTTCTATGATACAAGAAAGAATGTGTCTATTGCTTAGAGTTTAAATGAGGTGATTTAGGGAGCAGCAGATGGCATAATGGTTGCATCTCTGGACTCCCATATAGTTGACCACAGTTTGAGTCTCAGACCTGGTGGCTTAAAACTCAGGCCGGTGCATGTGCATGTGTGCCCCAAATCCCAAGAGAATGGACAAGATGGCATTGCAGTGTGGCCATTCCCACAAGGGATGACTTCTTACTTTCTGTCTCTGTCTCTCTCTGTCTCTCTGGCAAGTGCATGCACCCTAGAGCAAAATATTTCTCTATTTAAAAAAATGATCTATGCAAAATATTATGCTGAGTATCTGGCACACCCTAGATACTCAAGTACTGTTACTTTCAATAGCCTTTGACAAAATTCTAATAAAGAAGCAGATAGTTTAAGCAGGAATACTAGGAGCAGGAAATTATGACAGACAAATAATATAAAGAATCAGATAAACTGAAAAACAAGAGAGAAAATGCCACATCATAGATAATAAGGAGATTGTAGTATTCTTCATATATATAGCGTGGTATACTTGATCAGCACTTTAGGATATTATCAAATTATTGCCACATGCCAAAATAAATGACTAATAAATACCTGAGGAAGCGCATGGTCAGAAACTTTATTGATGGATTTCATTACAGAATTACTAAACAGTTATAATGGATTTACATAATGAGTTAAATCTTTAGAGTATTGCAAAATTCAGATACCTAAAACAATGAAAAAAAATCAGTCCTTAAAAAATATGTATAGTTAGGTTTTTAACTCTGTAGCTGAATTATATCTATACTCATTTAACAAATTCAGCTGGTAGTAGTTAAGGTGCTGGACTCCCATATGGCTGACCATGGTTCAAGTTCCAAACCCAGCAGCTTGAAATTTATGCTGGTGCGTATGAGTGTGTGCCTAAGATCCTGAGAGGAGAATGGAAGAGAAGGGGTTGTAGCATGGCCATTCTCCTTGAGGAGTGATTTCTCAGTTTCTCTCTTGATCTCTCTAGTGAACTCATGTGCCGTATAGTAAAAATTTCTCCAAAAAAATGAAGAAAAATTGAACTATGTGTGCTCAGTTTAAGCAAATTAGAAACAGAAAAGAGAAAAGGGGACACGAGAGAGAATGCAAAACATCCCTGTCCATCCTACGACTGTGCCTTAGGGTGAGTGTGGTGTGTGAAGGCATGGATTGTCCTAAACTCATTTTTAAATTTTAATTGCCAGAGGGTATACATGTTTGCCAGAGAAAGGCAGAGAGACCCCAATGAGGTGTGGTAATTTCTTCATTCTGTTGGGGTTTTGGATGTACGTATACATATATGCATCTGGACTGGTTTTCAAACCACTGGGACTGGGATTTGAACCATGGTCAGCCATGTGGGATCTACCTACCTTAACCACTGTGCTATGAGGATGGCATGCTTTATATTCATTTTACTCATTTTTTATGACCTTCTCCCATTGTATGGTAACTAGAGATTTTTCAAAAATAAGTTGGCCTATATGATTTTTACCTTATCTCTGAGTTAGAACCTGTCACACAGGATATAATTACAATACTTTGTTAAACATCATAAGGGACTTGAAGGCTTGCTTCTTAATTACTTTGAAGTAAATTAGGTTAGATGTGTTTCTCTTTCTGCATTGTACCTTGGTAGATACATGATGTTTTTTGACATTAAAATGTCAAAATGTTGCCTTTGTCTTCTGACTCCAGTGCACAATACTGAATTACTTTTTCTTTTTAATTCATAAAGTTTAGAACAGAACCACAAAAAGAAATTACTTACTTTTTGTGTGTGCTCCCCAGAAAGACAGAGAAACAGAGAGACAGAAAGCAAGAAATCACCCCCCAGGGGGGATGGCCATGCCACAATCTCTTCTCCATTCTCCTCTCAGGATCTTGGGCATGCATGCACACGTGCGCAGCGTGAGTTTAAGTCACCAGGTCCAGGACTCAAACCACAGTCTACTACATGGGAGTCCAGTGACATAGCATTACACTAACTGCTGGTCCCTTGTTACTTAATTTAATCATGGGAAGGCTTAAGTGATTAGCAAAATAACTGAATTTCTTATAAGTCTCCCAAGTAGTTTTTTTTTTATAGCTCTATTTATTTAATTATTTTTATTTTATTATTGCTATTTTTTTTAGTTTGCTATAGAGCACATTTGCTCATTGGGGAGAGATAGGGAGAGAGAGGAAGTGAGAAATCACCCCCCCAGGAGAGATGACCATGTTGTAATCTCTTCATGATAGATCATGTGCATATACATATGAGAGTGAAAGAAAAAGAGAGAGACAGAAAAATGAGCATCCTCCATAAGGTCTGGTCATGCTTTGGTCCCCTTTTTATATAGCCCATTGAATCTTGGGAACTCATGTGTACCTGGTGTGTTTTAGGTTGGGAGTGGAGATTCGAACTGTAGTTGCCATGTGGGTCCTGTTTTCTTCAGCAGTGCATTTCTGCTGTGCCATGGAGCCAGCCCATCATGAGCTACATTTTCAAGTTCTTATACTTCGGGGCCAGCAAGTAGTATAATGGCTGAGGTGCTGGACTCCCACATGGCTGACCGCGGTTCAAGTCCCAGACCTGGTGGCTTGAAACTCATGCTGGGTGCATGTGCATACATGCCCAAAATCCTGAGAGGAGAGTGGAGGAGGAGGGAGAGCAGTGTGGCTATCCTCTCGGGGATGATTTCTCACTTTCTGTCTTTGGCAAGCACACATGCCCAGTAGCAAAAAATCTCTCTAAGAAAAAAACAAAACAAAAACAAGGGACCAGCAGTTAGCGTAATGGCTATGTCGCTGAACTCCCGTGTAGCCGACCACGGTTCAAGTCCTGGACCTGGTGACTTAAACTCACGCCGGGCGCATGTGCATGCATACCCGAGATCCCGAGAGGAGAATGGAGGAGACGGGATTGCTGCAAGGCCATCCCCCCTGGGGGCAATTTCTCACTTTCTGTCTCTCTGTCTCTCTCTGTCTTTCTGGTGAGCGCACACACCCTACAGCAAAAACCTCTCCAAAAACAAAACAAAACAAAAACAAAAACAAAAATGAGAACAAACAAAAGTTATTGTATCTTTGAGGATAAACTCTAAAACACTAACTAGAAACTGCACATAAGTTTTGAATATTATTCAGTAGTTTAAAAGAGTTATAAAATGATTACTGGCATGTGATAGATACTCAAGATAAAATCAGACCATTCTTCTTAACAATGTCAGTGATCTCAGGAGATGATCTGGTATTTGAGATACTGAAAAAATTGAAAATGAGACTAATATTTCCAACCAGTGTGCACATCTAAAGTAAAGCTATTTCTGGATTTCCAGAAAGAACTCAGAATTATGCTCCAGCTTTCACAATGTTGGGTTATTTAAATGAACATCTACAACTGACAAGGGAGGCAGCCGATGCGTACCAAAGGTAAGCTGAATTGAATTACAGTCCAGTTGTTTATTAGTCAGCCTTTTTCACTCTCCTGAAGAAGGCACTGATGTTGTGACCGCTTTCCTGATGTCTCAGTGTACACTGTTATTACTTCTTAGAAGGTAAAAATGTGTAGTCTCAAATTTTCAGCCATAGTTTGGTTTCTATTGCTCATCAAAGTCTGCCCTCTATTTTGTTGTCTAGATTTATTAGACTCATGTGTTCAACAAGACCAGAAATAAAAACATGATGATGTATTTGTTCGACTCTAATGTCTGCTGTGTATGTATCCATTCAGTAAATAATTGTTGAACTTCTGTATGCTAAGCAATGTCCTTGGCACTAACGATTCAGCAGTGAATTAAAATAAACCTAGGCCCTGTTCTCCTAGGACTCGCGTTCTAGCGGTAAAAGATAAAAAATAAACTAATATGCATCTGTTATAATGCTAAGTGCTAAGAAAGAAGAATTTTATTCAGGTAAAGGGCCAGAGAGTCCATGGGCAGGAAGTGACATTTCAGGTGAGTTTAAGAAAGGATTGTCGTGTGACCGTTCTCCATGGTGGATGCTTTCTCCTTGTCCTCTGGTGAGCTCACTTGCCCGCTGGCTAACTAAAGCCCCACCACCACCACCAAAACAAAAACGATCAAAACACTTTTGAGAAATACTTATCACATACCTCCTTAGTAGCATTTGAGGCCTGATCAGAATGAGCTGAAGTCCTAGCCATTTGGTTTTCCAGGCAAGAACATTCCAGAAAGAACAGCAAGAACAAGGTCTCCCAAACAGGTGTGGACTTGGCATGTTTAAGAAACAGGAGAGCTAGTATGCCATAGTGGAGTGGCCAGCCTGGAGAGCCGTAGGAAATGAAATCAGCTGAAGATTTTATTTTCTGAAGATTAGTGGAGAGTGGAAAGAAACGAAACATTGATCACATGAATAACTATTAGACAAAAACAGATCTGATTACCTAACTTCTGAGCCACATTATTGCCCCAAATCTAAGTAAATAGGAGAAGCTTTGTCAGGGTAAAAATATAACGGAGGTGTCCCAAACGCTTTGCCATATTCTTTTATGGATCTCTGTGTCATTCAGAGGAGTCATCGCTCAGTGATATTCGAGACTGTGTAATCAAGGAGATATTGTTCCGGTGTCTGTGGAGAGAGATCTATGAACAATGACAGTTTTGTTTCAGTGTCAATAAATGTACCAGTAAACAAACTGTATGTATGTGATGAAGTGTAAAAGAAATGAGTGAGATTTTAAGAGGAAAAAACTAGGCGGCTTTAGGGAACTTGCTACTTCTTTGTACTTGTTGTTAGTGCAGGTATTATGAAGCCGTCAATAACTTCGGTTATGCCTTGGGCTTGACATGGCACCTCCACAGTCACGTGGGTTTGCGCTGCTTCTGTGACTCATCACCACTGCTGTCTTCCACCTTCAACAAGTATTTGAGGCTTGAAACTCCAAAGCAGGCATACATCTAACCAGGACTGTAGTATTTAACCTCTGTAGTACTGTGTAGCTTTCTGTTTTTCATGTAACATTAGGATAAAAAGGCCTTTGATAATTTGTCCCTAGTGAATCTCCTCTTTAAATGGAAAAGAAAATTGAAAAAATCGGAAATCTCCACTAATATTCTCTTTTTGATTATTGAGTCATTTCCTCGCTTGCCCATAGGGGACCAAGCCTGAAGGCAATGTGGGCTGTGATCATGTTTCGGAGTGTTTTTCCCAGGCCCCGAGAGACTTCTCATGACTCGTTCCCTTGCCTCCACTCATGGCCCTTCAAATATTCTTCTGGATGTGCGGGCAAGGAGGCAGGGAAGCGCTCCAGTTCTTGGCTTCCTAACTCAAACTGCTAGTCCATGAATATTTTTTCAGATTGTTCACCATAAACTCCAAATATGGTAAAACTTAAAACTATGACATATTCATTTTCCATATTTCAATGAACAATTTGAGACTATTTAGAACTCAGATATGATCATAATTTCTAAGAGATCATTTTGTTTTCTTGACAGCCTTAATTCTAAATATGTTGAGGTGCCTTTGTGGTGCCAACTTTATAAAATATGAAAGAGCTGTTATAACTAGCCTTAAAGAATTGGTAGAATTAAATGAAGAAAATGAAAATGTGTGGACAGAGCAAAGGAAGAAGATAAAAGAGTACTATTACACGTAGGTGATTTAAATTACCTTGTCCTTTTTTTAAGGGCAATTTTGTTGTTACAGACTGCAGAAGACAGAGATACTTACTATGTTACACTAAGAAATTACGGCAGAGTGTTATGGTAAGTGTACCTTTTCCCCCGTGAATTCTGTGAATCTATTGGATTTTTCTGGTGAATGTGGTAGAACTGCTGCTGGAACAGTGGGACCTGTGCGATCCAGATTTTTCAGAGGAGCAGGCTATGTGGTGTTCGCTAGACCCATAATGATACCAACCCCATTGTGCTTTGTAAGGAGTGGATTGAGAACTCATTTATATATATATATATATATAT